CGGGTTGGAATTGTCGTGGCCATTGGAATTTTTTCTTTTTTTTTTTTCTCTTTTTTTTTTTTGGCGTTTCTTTTTAAATTCTTCCATGTTTGATACTGTGTATAATAAATTTGCAGAATTTAGAGCATCAGAACTTGCTTTATTCTTCCTCTGCTTGATCCCAGCGTGGTTGGGGCTTGTCCTTGGAGCTTTATCCTGAAGGGTGATGGTGTCCATGGTGTCCCCACCTGCCTTTTCCAGGGATCCTCATCCCCTGAGCACCGTGCAAGCCACACTAATTACAACAATAACGATATAATAACGTGCTGATAATAATTATAACGACACCCCACACGCCTCGGGCTTGTTGAAATAGATTTTTATTGCATTTCTGCAGGTTTTACAAAAATATGACAAAATAAATTAAAAAGAAATAAATAACCCCCTTCCTTTCCTCGAATTCCTACAGAAATCCAACGCAAAGGAAAACAGAACAAAACAAACAAAAAAAAAGACCAACCAACTGTCCCAATCCTTCCCTCCTCTGCACAGCCACTGCCCCCAGGGCCAGATTCCAGACAGGGAGATGCTTTGGAGAGGGAAATGGTTCCAAGTGCCCCCCGGGCTGGGGATCCTGGCTGCAGCAGGGCCCTGCCCTCCCCTCAGGGATGGAGGGATGGATCCGGGATTGGTTCTCTCAGGAGGGAAACGGGATCAGTGTCATTCCCTTGAAGCCCAGCGGGTGTTTTTTTGGGAGTGGCAGAGCAGGAAAACTCGATGGAATGGAAAGAGGGAGGGAGAGCGGCCCGACCCCTCCCTGCTCTCGGGGAGCTTTGGGCCCCAGTTGCTCCCAGTGCTCCCAGTGCTCCCTTTTCCCGGGCTTCGCCCCAGAATCTCCCTCATCCTCCTCTCCCTGCGTCCTCCACGTGTGGGAGGGTGAGGAGGGCCCAGAGCCCTCCCGGCCCCACATTCCAGGCACAGCAAAGCTCCGGGGTGTCCCCAGCTCCCACGGGGGAGCCCCTTTTCCCTGGAAAACATCTCCCTGCGCTGTTCCCTCGGCAGCGGAGCAGCAGGCGGAGCCTCGGCCCTCTCCTGCCCTTATTGCTGTATAAAATGGCTTCTTTAGACCCCCCCAAAAAACTGAAATTTCCATGAATTCTAGAAAGAGGCGGCGGGGAAAATCCAACCTGACGTTTTTCTGCAGCCCAGGCCTGGGGGATTTTTTTTTGGGGGAGGGGGAGGTGGGGGGAGAAGGGGGGCTCAGCCCCCCTGCCTGGGCCAGGCACAGTGAAGGGGTGACCCCCGGCAGCCCCCTCCCCTTTCCCCGGCTTCCTTTGGGAATGTGGGTGGCTGCGGGCGGAGCGGAGCTGGTGGCGAGGGCCGGGGGGGGGAGTGACAGGGCTGGGTGTCCCCACCCGGGTCACCTGCGAGGTGCCACCACCCCGTGCCGGCCCCGAAAGCGAAGCAGAGCCGCAGCAAAGCGGGAAAGGGGGAGCTGGGACCCCCCCCCCTCCCAGCACGGACAAGGCTCGGGAAGCTCCAGGTCCAGACCCGGCGACGCAAATCCGGCAAAAACCTTCCCCCGGCGGCGGCGAAGCGGCTCCCACCCCCCTCCCCGTCCCAGCCCCTTCCTTCTCCCGGGCTCCGGCGCGACCTCCGCGCGTGCGAGCGCCTTATTGCGAAATAATTCCAGGGAATACGAAACTGGAGATGGGAAGGGCCCGTCCCGGCTCACGTTGCAGTCCCGGGGGTCGCGGCCGGTGCCAGCCCCCGGCTGAAGGAGGAGAAAGTCACCGGCGTCGGGGTTTGGTTGGGTTTTAGTGCAAGAAACGCTGCCCATGCGCGGGGGGGCTGCGGCTCATCCCGCTCCATCCCGCGGCAGGAAAAAGGTCCCGGTGCTGGGAAGGATCCGGGGCGGAGGCGGCGGGAGCGGGACGGAGCAGGGCACGGTGCCATGGCCGGAGGGCAGGGGGTGTGTAGGCACGGCTGAATCGGGCTCCTCTGGCCGCCGATCCCGGCAATCCCGACCCTCCCGGCCGGCAGGAGCCACACCGGGATAACTCCCACCCGCGGGCGTGGAAAGCCGCCGGGACGCTCCATCCACGCCGCCGCTCAGGAATCCTCGGCGCGGGCTCCGGGGTGGCAGCGGGTCCCGGCGGAGGGGCCGGGGGGGCACGAGGGGACGCAGCAGAGGGGGCCGGGGCAGAGCGAGGGGCTGGCGGCCGGTGGGCTCGGCCCGGCCCCGAGCGGGGGGACGGCCAGGGGGGGCGAGAGGCTGCCGATGGCCACGGCTGCCCGGAGGAGCGAGCGGGCGGCCCCCCGCGCTCCCGGCCCCCCGAAAGCCCCGGTTAGAGCCTATAACCCCCGCTCTCCTCCTCCGCCCGGCTCTCCGGCTCCTCCCGGCCCCCCTCCTCCGCAGCCCCGTTGAGGTGGGACTTGCTGGGCACCGAGCGCTCGGGGTCCGCCGAGGGGCCGGGCCGGGGCTGGGGCGATGCCCCGGCCGTGCCGCCGTTGCCCGCGGCCCCTTCGGACTTGCCGAAGTTGAAGAGCTTGCCGGGGTTGAATGGCTTGGTGGGGGACTGGACCTTCTCGGTGCCCGCGTCCCGCTTAGTCTCCGGGGATTTGAGGAACTTGAAGCTGAGGAATCCGGGCAGCTTGTTCTCGCTGCCCGTGGGCGACTGCGGGGACCTGGCGGTGGCCGTGCCGCCGGCGCCGGCCCCCCCCGACAGGAACTTGCCCTGCAGAGGGATGATCTGCTTCAGCTTCATCACGTTGTTGGTGGCCAGGAGGGAGCTGGGCCGCTTGGGCTTGTCGGAGCCGTGCGAGGAGCCCCCGGAGCCCTTCCCTTTGCTCTGGCTCTTCTCGTGGGCCGGGTCCTGCCCGGCGGCCTCGGGCTTGGCCTCATCCCGGCTGGATTCGCGCTCCTTCCTCGCCTGGTACTCGGCGTGGCGCTGCCGCTCCTCCTCCTCCCGCTTGCGCCGCTGCTGCTGCTGGAAGTGGTGCTGCGCCTGCCGCTCGTGCTTCTGCCGACGGGAGCGCGTCAGCCCCGGGGCGCCTCGGGGGGGGACACCCCGGGGAGCCCTCCCACCCCAGGAGTGCCTGGGGGAGCCCACCAGGTCCGGGGACACCTCGGGGAACCCACCAGGTCCGGGGACACCTTGGGGAGCAGCCCACCCATCCCTGGAAACACCTCAGGGAACCCACCAGCCCTGGAAATACCCTGGGGAGCCCACCAGGTCTGGGGACACCTCAGGGGTCCCACCAGGTCCAGGGACACCTCAGGGGTCCCACCAGGTCCAGGGACACCTCAGGGGTCCCACAAGGTCTGGGGACACCTCGGGGGTCCCACAAGGTCCAGGGACACCTCAGGGGTCCCATCAGACCTGGTGACACCTCGCAGAGCCCAGTGGCCTCAGGGACACCTCGGGCACCCCCCTGGCCCTGGGTTCAGGGGTCCCAGCCCTGTGCCCAGCCCCAAGCAGGGTCCCATCCCAGCCCCACACCCACCTTGAAGGCCTCGCGCCGCTGGTATTCCAGCTTGGCCATCTCCTCGGCCACCCAGGCGGGAATGTCGGGAATGGCCACCTGGATGATGTACTTCAGGAACAGGGCGAAGTGCTGTGGGGGGCACACGGATCTGGCTGAGCGCCCCTGGCACTGCCACTCC